GCTAAAATACAGTGGCATGATCACAGCTCACTGCAGCCTCAACCTCCCAGACCCAAACAATCTTCCCACCTCAGTCTCCCGAGTAGCTGGAACTACAGCATGTACCACTGCACTAGCTAAGTTTTTAAAAAACACTTTTTGTAAAGTTGGGATCTCCCTATGTTGTCCAGGCTGGTCTCAAACTCCTGAGCTCAAGAGATCTGCCCACTTTGGCCTCCCAAAGGGATTACAGGCATGAACCACCATGCCCAACCTATATGTATTTCTCGTAACTGCTATATATTTTCATATAGAGTAAGGCTATCCTCACCCTAATTGTCAAAATAAACACATTACTTTTTCTAAAAACAAGGAAAACAATGATAACAACATCATAGAATCATTTTCTCTTCCTCTCAGTAAACGTGGATTTAAGTAAGATACCACAGGAAGACCTCTCTAAAAAGTTAATATTTGAACAGAGACCTGAATAAAATGAAGGTGCGCACCATGTGAAGTATGCAAGGAGAGTTCCAAAAATAGGGAACAAAGTGTGCAAAGGACCTGATGTTGGAACAAGCTTGGTGTATTTAAGGAATAGCAAGAAGGCCAATTTGGTGAGAGTAGAATAAGAGAGACAGAAAGTGACAAGAGATGTAGTTAGAGTAATAGGCAGGGAGATATCAAGCAGGATTTTGTGGGCTGTGGTGAAAGTTTGTATTTTATTCTAAGAGTAATGGGGAAGCTATTGGAGTATACTAGGCAAGAAAGTATAATCAAGTTTAGGAAACAGCATATACTATGCTAACGATCCTTCCTGAGAGATGTAAGGCAGATCTCCAAGGATAATGGCAGGGCTCAGAAAATGCTGACCCAAAGCATTTCAAACTCAGTAAGACTGAGAGGACCTCAGAAACAAGAAGGTCACTCTGACCTTTCCCTGCCTTTCTGTGTGAAACATGGTCATAAAGGAATTCTCTGACCTACTTTGCCTAAATTCTAAGACCCTCATTCCACGGTATGGAATGGTCCTGTCTCATACCCATGGAATGGTCCTGTCTCATGCCCAGGAAGAAAGAATGCTACACAGAGAGGCCAAGAAGAATCTGAACAAACAGGCCTTGTTAAGTTTTGCCTAGTTTATTAATATTAGATAATACCCTTTTGACCAGTCATGTTTCTCGATAACTATTCATTTTTTTTCATTAGACTTGCCATAGAAACACAGTTTTCCCTGGGTCTTTGGGTCTTAATTTCTGAAGGCTCCCATGTTATATACAACTTTGATTAAATAAATTTGTTATGCTTTTCTCTTGTTAATCTGTCTTGTTACAGGAGTGTCAGCTGTGAACCTTGCAATGAATGAGGAAAAGATGTTACTATTTTTCTCTCCTACAATACCAAAACCTTAATATTCAGTTATATTTAGCTATTTTTGTTTAGAAGGCAAAACTTTGCTAACCCTATAGTGACCAAAGATAAGGCAAATATGAGCTGTGATTCTGCTAATTTAACAAAAGATAAAACATTAAAGTTATCCAAATATAGCAATATATCTCTTGGACTATCTAATTTCTTGAGTGTATTTGATCATTATTTTCAAAATATATGTTTAATTTTTAAAATTCCATTACAAAATTAATCAATACCTTGAAGATAATACAACTTATAATCTGTATTTCAACATGAATACAGCAGCATTATGAATATATGCTATTGGTTATGATCATGTTTTAACAACATATTTATTCTTTAAGCAAGACAATTTTACTGCTTTATCTCTGCATTTTTATTTGCCACACATGTAATACAAGTAGAGAATAAATTTAAATTGGCTAAATCTTTTTAGAGGATCTAACATTTTTTTCTTTTACTAAAGGGACAGTCTCAACACAATGAAAAGGTAGCAATTTCTAATCTGAATAAATGCCTAACAATATTTTATATTCTAAAAAACAAGTAAGAAATACTAGTTGATTAAATAACAAGCTGAGGTTGGATAGGAATATATCTTTGGCACAGGTTGGGTTACAAAGCCCATAATCACTCTAGGCTTATATTTTTCAATTAAAATTAAGTAGAAAAGAAAAAATACATATTGGGCATGATTGCTCACACCTATAATCTCAGTGCTTTGGGAGGCAGAGGTGGGAGGATCACTTGAGGCCAGGAGTTTGAGACCAGGCTGGAAAACACAGTGAGACCCCCTTTCTAAAAAAAGCTACAAAATTAACCAGTTGTGGTGGCTCACGCCTATAGTCCCAGCTACTCAGGAGGCTTCGGCAGGAGGATCATTTGAGCTCAGGAGTTCAAGGTTACAATGAGCTATGATCACGCCACTGCATTCCATCCTGGGTGACAGAGTAAGATTGTCTCTTTTAAAAAAAAGGAAAAATACAGAGTGTGTATCTGTAAGCATATTTTCAAAGACCAGGGATGTTAGAAATAAAAACCAAATAAACCAAGTTAACATATTATACAAAGAAAGACATTCTTATAGAATAAATTGATTAATTCAGCAAAAAAGTGTATATGCCAAGCTTTTTGTGTGAAAAAGAAATAGTTCACATTATTTTTCAACAGGTAAGTTTCCTTTTTAAAAAATGATTTACAAAAGCATATTCTTACTTTCATAATAACTGAACTTTTTCACTAAAATACATAGAATCTAATTTTTGGAATGAAATGCACCTAACCTTGTAATTTTGCTTCAATTCCATCTTTGTTCAATCCAGATGCAAAACCTGCATGTCATGAAAATTTCCAAAAAGTAAAACAGAATTTAATTCATCTTTACAGGCTCAGTTTATACCCCAGTTAACTAGGGAAGAGTAGTCTAATTGAGTCTTATATAAGAAAAAAAAAAATCTCAGCTTATTGAATTCAAACAAGACTTAAATAAATATCCATAGAAACAATGAACAGGAATATCATATTTTAACAACAATGGTATGGAATAAATTTCCAAATGTTTTACACATAGTAAATATCATCAAGTGATTAATATATTCTAATGAACTTTCATTATAACATGAATGTTCCTAGGAAAACATATTTGGTAATACAACCATTTTGTGCTATTCACTAAAGTTGTAACTACACATACCGTTTAACACAACAATTTCACTCCTAGGCACATACCCACAGATATACATATACATGTGTATCAAAAGATATATATAACAATGTTCACAGCAACATTATTTAAAATTAATAATTTCCTTTCATCAAAAGATTTATATTCATATAAATGGAATCTTTTCAAGAATAGATAAAGCTAGCCTGTGGTATGTAAGTCAGAATAGCATTGACTTCTGGGGGCAAATACTGACAGAAAAGGAGCATGAGGGAACATCTAGAAAATGTTCTATATCTTAATCTGGGCTGTGGTTACATGTGTGTATATGTGTGTATAAACATATATATAAAATTTCATTGACCTATACACCTCATATTTGTGCAGTTTACTATAAGTGATATCTCAATACAAAAAAGTAACTACAGAAAATAAAGTAACCATGAAAAGGCAGAAATGAAAATTAAAACATGAAAAGATGTCAATATTCATATATAATATTGATAAAAAATACACAAGTATACACCCAAAGGAAAGGCTGGAGAAACAAAATATGGCACTTTTGAACACTGCTGAAAGGTATATGAGCTACTAAGGTAGCAATTTAGCCACAGGTATCAAATTTATAAATGCATATATCTTTGACACAGGAATTTCATTTCTTTTTTTTTTAATCTTTTTAAATTTTTTTTATTATACTTTAAGTTCTAGGGTACATGTGCACAATGTGCAGGTTTGTTACATATGTATACATGTGCCATGTTGGTGTGTTGTACCCATTAACTCGTCATTTACATTAGGTATATCTCCTAATGCTATCCCTCCCCTCTGTCCCCTCCCCACAATAGGCCCCGGTGTGTGATGTTCCCCTTCCTGTGTCCAAGTGATCTCATTGTTCAATTCCCACCTATGAGTGAGAACATGCGGTGTTTGGTTTTCTGGTCTTGCAATAGTTTGCCGGGAATTTCATTTCTAGAGATTAATCATACGGATAAATTCATGCATGTAAAAAATGAAGGGATTTTTTGGCTGCATTGTTTGTAATAGCAAACAATTAGAAAAAGTATAAATGTCCATCAATTGGGGATCGTTTAAACAGGTGATACATAAGTAAATGGAATATTATTTAGCTATTAAAAAAAGCTTCCAGCCAGACATGGTGGCTCACGGCCAAAATCCCAGCACTTTGGGAGGGTGAAGTGGGAGGATCACTTGAGCCCACAAGTTCGAGACCAGCCTGGGCAGCATAGGGAGGCTCTGCCTCTACAATTTTTTTTTTTCAAAAGTTAGCCAGGTGTACTGATATATGCCTGTAGTACGAGCTACTCGGGAGGCTGAGGTGAGAAGATCACTTGAGCCCAGAAGGTTGAAGCTGAAGTAAACTGTGATCATACCACTGGATTTCAGCCTGGGCAACAGAGCGAAAGCCTGTCTCAAAAAAGCTTCCAAGACATACTAAGAAAAAAAGGAATGTGCAGAAGACTATAATAATGGAGGTTTAAAAAAAATATGACCACAAGGCCAGGCACAGTGGCTCATGTCTGTAATCCCAGCACGTTGGGAGGCCAAGGCAGGTGGATCACTTGAGATCAGGAGTTCGAGACCAGCCTGGTCAAAATGGCGAACTGCCGTCTCTGCTAAAAATACAAAAAATTAGCCAGGCATGGTGGTGCGTGCCTGTAGTCCCAGCTACTCAGAAGGGTAAGGTGGAGAATTGCTTGAACCTGTGAGGTGGAGGTTGCAGTGAGCCAAGATTGTGCCATTGCATTCCAGCCTGGGCAACCAAGAGAGGCTGTCTCAAAAAAAAAAAAAAATGCCCACAAATTCTTTGATATTCTGCCCTCTGAGAGATGAACTTAATCCCTCTCGCCTTCGTGTGACCAGGACTCAGTGATTTGCTTCTAAAAAACCCAATAAAGCAGAAGTAATGATGTGTGACTTCAGAGACAAAGTTATAAAAAAGTACTGCTGCTTCTGATTTAGTCTGTCTCTGTCTCTCTTTCTCTCTTGATCATTCATCCTGAGAAAAGTCAGCTGCCATGCTATAAGGAAAGATCCACCTGGCAAAAGAGTGAGGCCTGTCAACAACGGTGAGAAACTGAGGCCTCTAACTTATAGCTCTGTGAGTGAGACTACTTAGAAGTGAATCTTCAAGACCCAGGAAAGCCTTCAGATGACTGCAGCCCTAGCTGACATATCTTGCAATCTAAGAAGAGCCTCTGACCCAGAGCCACCTAGCTAAGACAGTCCCAGATTCCTAACCCACATAAGCTGTGTGAGATAATAAATTCTGGTTGTTTCTAGATTATTTGTTTTAGGATAATTTGTTAAAAGGAATGGAAAACTAATACATTATGCCACCATTTGTGTTTAAAATGGTGGGAAAATAAAATTACATTTTCTTATTTACTTTTATATGCAAAAAAATTATTCAAAAAAGATATACCAATGATTACAGAACTAGGGGATGGAAAGGGGAGAGATGGGAATTGAACAACTGTGTGGGTAGGGATATATATGGAAGAATTTTAGTTGTATATATTCCTTCACTTTATGATTTTTGAACTAAGTAAATGTATTACCTAGTTGAAATAGACATTTTTAAGTGATAGGAATATTTATATATTCCTTTAATATAGACTTATATTAATTACTCTTTGAGATCTGAAAGTTTTCAACCTTTGTGCATTAGAATGATACTTCAACGAGTCAGGCTTTAATTTGGTATTCAACAACCCCAAGTATAGGTTATTTCATAACCTATACCACATAAAAAAACCCTCTGGAAGCCACATAACAAGATGTGGGTTAGCTATAGAAGCAAGATGAAAATTGTAGCAGCAACAGTAGTACTATATACTTTCATTTCTTATAAATTGAAAAATAAACAGTCATAAACTCAAAAACGGGAGTAGCTGAACACTAAGCACAGACAAAATTCAAAACGTTCTGTAACTTTAACTTATTTTCAATGATTTAGACATTTCTGTTATTTTTACTGGAGCTGAATTTTTTTCCACTAGGTCTATTTTTAATGGTGCTGATTTCAAACCTTGTTGAAACACTAGAAGTAAAACAGATTAAAATTTCTCAGTTTGTCTACTCTTGTCTCTAAATGTATTTGGGACTGTTGTTATCTTTTGTTTTATTATCTATTAGTTTCTGTAATCTATCTATCCTGTAACTTATCAGCATAAATACAGGCCTAGCTGGCTTGAAAAAATTACTACTTTTCCAAGTCAAAGTAACAAACCATAATGAGATGGATTTTTCAAGGCTCTGATATAAAGCAAAGTTGATCGTATCCATTCCAAAGCAATATTCACATCCGTGATGGTATGCAGTACTATCTCTGCATTTAAATGCTCAATAAGATGTCTGTGCAAACTAATGGAAAAAAAAACTTTGCATTACGAATATGCAGTTCAATGCCATAACTGTTACTTTTTAACTTTAATAATTTATAATATACCAATTGCTCCTTTACTAATTCATGAACTATAACTTAATTTCCAAAAACATAAAAGAAAACCTTAAGAAGTCAGTTCAACTTCTAAAAAGGCTTCAGATATATCTCTCTACTTTATGGTTATAGAACACGGATTACTGCTTTAACCAAAGTTGAAGCGTAAATTATATCCTACTTTCTCCAAAAGAGAATACATTAAATATCTTACTAATAAGTCCCAGATTTCCTCTATTATTAAATTAAGATGTAAAAATATTTCTCCTTTATTACAAATTAGTAATTATAAATTTATATAATTTCATATATAAATTATAATCATAATTACTAAGGCTTTATTACAAATTAGGGTTTGTTATAAACAAGAATACATGCTTGTCAAGAAATACCACTGAATAAAATGACTACATTTTAAAAAAATTATTAAATTCTCTAAAATGACACAAACTATCTAGTTAAATTGTTGAAAACTTTACAGAAAATGGCCTTAAAAAAATCTCCAAACCAAATTTCCTTTTGATATTTTAAAAGGAAATAAAATAAGCTATATCAGCATTACTATCTTTTTGGAACATTTTTTGTATTACCTGCTTTCTACAGTGTCTCTACAAGCTAACATCTGAATGTATTTGTCTCTTGTGCTTAATCGAGTCATGATAACTGCAGTAGCTGTAGTGTCAAACTGGGGAAAAAAACAGAAATGTAGTGAAGAAGAGCACATCTTGGTATCAGTCCTCTGCAAAAACTCAAGATTTTCATTTTATATTAAACAGTCTCCTTGTCTGAAATAACACTTCAAAAAGACCTTTAAAATGCTCTCACTTTGTTAACCTAAAATTTAATTTAAAAGCCTTCCAAGAGTATAGCTGTAAATATCACTTTGGTTTCAATGTAACATAATTTTGGCAATGTTAAAATCAAAACAAACTCTGGTAACTGCATAAAAGTTGTAAGATTTGGTATAGTTTATATATAATCTGATTTATTCCATGAAATTATAGAATTGTATAACATAATATTTACAAATGTTTTGAAAATATACTCTTCCTGATGTTTCCATAATAGCTATAAAAATGACTTATTCATGTATTTGTCAGAGTAGGGTATGTTTTGAAATGTATTTGGGCTGACTTTGTCATAATGCCTGGGAACACTATTAGCATTTAGTGCTAGGACCTAGGGATGTTACATGTTCTGTAATGTGACAGCCTTAAACAAGGAAAATCTGTTCCATCCCAAATGCTGAGTACCCCCATTCAGAATAAAAAAACAAAACAAAACCAAAAGACCTTTAAGAGCATATCCATTCATAAACCCATCCCTTCATCAGCCAGTGCAAGCTTACACAGAATGAAGGAAGTATGTCCCAGTTGGTGAGGCTTGTTTTACTTTTATTCCTCCATTAAAGGTAAATTTTCTCTGCTATATTACTTTTAAGCCTGATGTAATTATGACATGTTATTCAAAAATTCCCCATTTTTTTGTTTTTATCATGTTTTTAAGTATAAAAAGCAAAGTTATTGTCACTTACTTGAGGTCGACCAGCTCTACCAATCATCTGTAGAATATCTGTTTCACTGTACTCTTCAAACAGTCCTCCAGCATAATGCATTGTAGATTTTATAACTACTAGGTGAGCAGGCAAATTTACTCCCATAGCTAAAGTACTGGTAGTAACTGCATCAGATGAAGACATAGTAATTTTGAGCCATTTAACTTTATTGCTTCATGAAGACTTTTTAATAAAAGACATTCCTATAAATGTAATAAAATCTCATATATAAGAAATTTAGAAAAGAAAGAAAAAAGAACATTACAATCTAAAATAGTAACACACCTTAAATCCAAAAACCTACTAAATTCTTGTTTTTCAAATTACACTACGTTCAATAATATGACAAAGATCTAAACATTGCCAAAGAATTTACTGTAGCATCTACATGCATAGGTAACCATTTAATTCTAGATTCTCAGAAGAAAAGAAGAAAGAAGCAGAATACTTGAGCTTTTCCTTTTTTCCTCTTAAAAATAATTTTCCAAAATATTTTATAGCATCCACAAGAAATATGTTTTACTTACAAAGAACTGGTAAATCTCCAACAGTAAAAGCTCCCTCAACTACTTTTCTATCTGACAGCTCCATACCAGCATGATGATAAGCGGCACCATCTTTTAAGATATCTGTAATATATCAGCTGCTACTATTAGTATTTTATCAATAATTGGCACCTCTCATCTATATGTGAAAATGCTATTCAAAAATAATCTCTAAACCTACCTCTCAGTTTTGAATCTCTTACGGAATATGCATACTTCTGTAACCTATTTAAAAATACCATAAAATTATTTAGTTACTCCCAGTAACATTAGAGGACTCTGAAACAGTTTATTAATTATTTTAAAACTTAGAGATATCAAAAAATTTTCACAATATCATTATCTGAAAACTATTTTAAGAAGTAGAAAATATCCAACTTACATATTCAAAAGTCCCTAAACTTATGAGCTGTAATATTAAAGCTCACTTTTAAACCAAGAATTTGGAAAACTCACTTCCCCTAAGAAAAAAACATAATTGGTGATTAACAAGTCAGAATATAAGTCTACTCTCATGATTTGCCTAAAAAAAATTGTAAGAAGTAACAATTCCTAAAACTACTATATCACTAGTAAGCCAAAACAAAACAAAACAAAACAAAACAAAAAACCATAGAAATAAACAATAGTTGTTTCCAGTGCTCTGAGACATAGACATGGCATTTAAAAAAACTAGGTTGGCCAGGTGCGGTGGCTCATGCCTGCAATCCCAACATTTTGGGAGGCCGAGGCAGGCAGATCACGAGGTCAGGAGACAGAGACTATCCTGGCTAGCACGGTGAAACCCCATCTCTACTGAAAATACAAAAAATTAGCTGGGCATGGTGGCAGGTGCCTGTTAGTCGCAGCTACTGGGGCAGCTGAGGCAGGAGAAAGGTGTGAACCCAGGAGCTTGCAGTGAGCCAAGATTGTGCCACTGCACTCCAGCCTGGGTGACAGAGAGAGACTCCATCTCAAAAACAAAAACAAAAACAAAAACTAGGTCAGGAGGAAGCAAGATGGTCAACTAGAGATGCCTAATGCTCATCCTCCCCACAAAAAAGAGCAAAACAATGAATAAACAACTAATTACATTTTGACCAGAGTGACCAAAGGAAAGTACCTCTCTACAAATTTGAAACAGGGGATTATTCCACTATATTGATTGCAGACATCAATACAGGGACACAAGAAACATGAAAAAAAAAAAAAACAGAAAATACAACAGCACCAAACAAACACAATAATTCTCCAGTAACTGATTCCAAAAAACAGAAATTTGCATATTGCCTGAAAAGGAGTTCAAAGTAATAATCCTAAGGAAACTCACTGAGATACAAAAGAATACAGATAGACAGTTCAATGAAATTAGGAAGACAATTCATTATCTGCATAAGAAAGTCATTCAAAAAGTACCAAATAGAAATCTTGGAGCTAAAGAATTAAATGAATGAAATCAAAAATAAAGAGCTTCAATAGCAAACCAAAACAAGCAGAAGAAAGAATCTGTGAAATGAAGTTAGGTTTCTGAAATAGCCTAGTCAGAGAAAAAAAAAAAGAAAAAAGAACAAAAAAGAGTGAAGAAAGCCTACAAGACTTATGGGACACCATTAAGCAAACAAGTATTCATATTATGGAGGTTCCAGAAGGAGAAGAACGAGGAAAATGCATAGAAAGCTTATTTAACAAAATAATTGCTGAAAAATTCCCAAGTCTTGGGAGAGATATGGACATCCAGTTCCATGAATCTCAAAATCACCAAACATGTTCAAACCCAAAAAGGTCCTCACTGAGGCACATTATAATAAAAATGTCAAAAGTCAAAGACAAAGACAGAATTTTAAAAGTTGCAAGAGAAAAGTATCAAGTAATTTATAGGGGAATCTCCATTAGACTATCAGTGGATTTCTCAGCAGAAACCTTGTAGGCCAGGAGAGCACAAGATGATATAGTCAAAGCCCTGAAAGAAGACAATATTGCCAGTAAACAATACAATACTGTACAAAGCAAAGCTGTTCATCAGAAATGAGGAGAAATAAAGTCTCTGCCAGATAAATAAAAACTGAGGAAATTCACCACTAGACCTGCCTTATAAGAAATGATTAAAGCTATTCTTCTACCAGATACAAAAGAATGATAATTAGTATCATGAAAACATATTGAAAGCATAAAACACACTGGTAGTTTAAATGCATAGTCAAATTCAGAATGTGCCACCACTGTAATGGTGATCTGTAAGTCTTTCAAATCTCCAGTACGAAGGTGAAAAGTCAAAATGGTCAAAAATGTAGCTACAATGAGTTGTTAAGGAATACTGAATATAGAAAGATGTAAATTATGTCAACAAACATAAATTGTGGGGGGAGGGCAAAAATCTAGAGTATTTGTATGTGACTGAAGTTTAACAGTTGTTATCAGCTTAAAATAGTCTATTATAACTATAAGATATTTTATGTAAGCCTCGTGGTAACTGCAAAGCAAAAAGCTACAGGAGATACAAATGAGAAAGAGAAAGGAATCAAAGCTTAGCACTGCAGAAAAACAACAAATCACAAACGTACATAACAAGAGAAAGAAAGGAACAACTGATCTACCAAGCAATCAGAAAACAATTAAAACTGCAGGAGTAAGCCCTTATCTATCAATAATAACCCTGAAGGCAAATGAATTAAATTCTCCAATCACGACATACAGTATCTAAATTGATAGAAAAAAAAAAAAAAAAAGATCCAAACATATGCTGCCTACCAGAGATCCATCTTAGTTACAAGGACACAGGCTGAAAGTTAAGGAGTAGAAGAAAATATTCTATGTAAATAGTAACCAAAAGAGAGCAGGGTGGCTATTCTTACATCAGTTAAAATAGACTTCAAGTCAAAAACTGTTACAAGAGGCAAAGAAGGTCATAATTTAATGACAAAGGGGTCAATTCATCAAGAGCACATAAGAATTTTAAATATATAAGCACCCAACACTGAAGCATCAAAATATATAAAACATTATTAAAGGACATGAAGAGAGTGATAGATAGCAACACAATAATAGTAGGAGTCTTCAATATCCCACTTTCAATAATGATAGATGAACCAGACCGAAAGTTAACAAAGAAATACTGGACTTGAATTGTACTTTGAGTCAAATGGACCTAAGAGACAAATATAGAACTCTGCATTGAATAGCAGCAGAATGTATATGCTTCTCTAGTGCATATGAAACATTCTACAGGACAGATCATACATTAAACCACAAAACTAGATTTAACTATTTTTAATTAACCTAAATTCAAGACGATTGAAATCACATGTAGTATCATTTCTGACCACAACAATATGAAACTAGAAATCAGTAACAGGAAAAATTTTGAAAAACATCACAAGTACGTGGAAACTAAACAACATGCTCCCAAACAATCAATGGGTCAAAGAAACCAAAAGGGAAATTTAAAAAATCTTCAGACAAGAAACAAGGGAAAGACAACAGACCAAAACCTATGAGATGCAGCAACAGTGGTTCTAAGAGGAATTTTGTTTGTTTGTTTGTTTTTGAGACAGACTTTCACTCTTGTTGCCTAGGCTGGAGTGCAATGGCACGATCTCAGCTCACTGCTACCTATGCCTTCCGGGTTCAAGTGATTCTCCTGCCTCAGCCTCCTGAGTAGCTAGGATTACAGGCATGTGCCACCACGCCTGGCTAATTTTGTGTTTTTAGTAGAGACGTAGTCTCCCCCTATAGGTCAGGCTGGTCTCGAACTCAAAAGGAAATTTTAAGCAATAAGGGTCTACATTAAAAAAGAAGATGCTAAATAGACAGCCTAACATTATACCTACAGGAGCTAGCAAAAGAACAAACTAAATGCACAGTTAGCAGAAGAAAGGAAATAATAAAGATCAGAAGAGAAATAAGTCAAATAGAGAACAACCACCAAAAACATATAGAAAATGATCAATAAAACCAAGACTTGGTTCTTTGAAAAAACAAACAAATATCTAGCTAGACTAAGAAAAAAAAAGAGGAAACAAATAAAATAAAAATGAAACTGCAGAAATTACAACAGATGCCTCAGAAATTAAAGAAATCACAAGGGACTATTAAGAACAATTATATATTAATGCCAACAAATTGGATAACATATAGGAAATGGACAAACTCCTAGAAAAATATAACCTGCTAAGTTTGAATCAGGAAGAAATAGAAAGCTTAAACAGACCAATAACACATAATGAGATTGAAGTAGTAATGAAAAATCTTCCAACAAGGAAAAGCCCAGAACCAGATAGCATCACAACTGAATTCTACCAAACATTCAAAGAAGAATCACTACCAATACTTCATAAACTATTCCAAAAAAATACAGCTAGAGGGAATACTTCCAAATATATTTTGTGAGGCTACTATCACTTTGATACCTAGGCCACATAAACACACTACAAGAAAACTATAGGCCAGTATCTCTGATGAATATTGACGCAAAAATCCTCAATAAAATATAAGCAAACTGAATTCAACAACACATCAAAAAGGATTATACATCATGGCCAAGTGGATTTATTCCTGGCAAGAAAGTCTGGTTTAATACATGCAAATCAACCACTCTGATGTATCACATTAACAGAAGGAAAGATAAAAAACACAAATCATCTCAATTGGTGCAGAAAAAGCATTTGACAACAAGTTCAACATCCTTTCTTGATAAAAATCTCTTAACATGCAGGCATATAAGGAAAACTTCTCAACTAACATAACAAAGACCATTTATGAAAAATCCACAGCCAACATCATAATCAATGGGGAACAACTGAAAGCTTTTCCACTAAGATATAGTACAACACAGGGATGCCCACTCTCAATGCTTCTATTCAACATAGTACTGGAAGTACTAGCAAGAGCAATCAGATAAGAAAAAAATAAATAAAAGGAATTCAAATTTGAAAGGAAGAAGTAAAATTATCTTTATTTGCAGACATTACCTTATATGTAAAAAAAATCAAAAACTCATTAAAAAAACTTAGAACTCATAATTCAGTAAAGTTGCAGGATTCAAAATCAATATACAGAGATTAGTAGCATTTTTAAACACAAATAATAACTTAACTGAAAAAGAAATCTAGAAAACAATCCCAGTTATGATAGCATCAAAAAATAAAATGCTTAGGAATAAGTTTAATTAAGGAGATAAAGATCTGTACACTGAAAGCTATAAAACAATGGTGACAGAAATCCAAAACAAAAATAAATGGGAAGATA